GACTTTTAATGAATATCTTGAAACCTTAACAGGTGTTTTTAAATGTCCCAAGAGTTTTTTTTTTTTTTTGTTAGTTTTGTAAAGTTTTCTTTTGACAAAATTATTTTACTTAACTTTTTTTTTCAAATGAAATTAAAATTAAATAAAATTTAATTTCAATGAGAAAAATACTGATATATTATATTAATCAATTGATAAAAAAAATTAATTTTTAAGAATTTTAAATCAACTTAATTTTTAATTATTCTAAAATTAGTGTTAAGAGGAAGATGTGATTTTATTATTAATATTCTTTCATTAATATTTCACTAAATAAAAATGGTTAATTACTCTCTAAATCTGAATTAGTAACAAATTTTATTAATTTGCATTAGTAACTCACTTTTTGCTTATCAATTAGTAAAATTTTACTAATTCTATAAAGCAAAAAGGGAGTCACTAATTTAAATTAGTAAACATTTTTACTAATTCATATTTAAAGAGTAAAATGTTAATTAAAAATGATATTTTTTGTATTTTCTAACCCTCATTTATAGTCCTTCTGAACCGCAGAACTTTATGTAAATAAATAAATTAAAAAAATATTTCTAATTTCTTCCTCAGAAATTTGGCGAATTATTTTTTTTATTTTCAAATAAAAATCCATATGTTTGACAAAACTTTTCTTGGTTTTATAAACAATTTAAACTTATTAAAAATAATTAATTCAATATAATATATAATACCTAATAATAATGTGTAATTATTTAATTTTTTAATTAATTAATTAATTTAAAAAATCGCGATTTAAACAATTAAAAATTAGAAATAATTTTTTTTTCTTTTTTTCTTAAAGACGATGAAGTTAGTTAGTTATAGAGTCAAAGTCATATTACCTGAGCGCGTGCTGGACCCTTGGAAGGTGATAAAAAAGGGGTTCGCCACGCGCTCATCGCCCCAAAGGTTAATCTAAGAAATCAAATCAAAGTAGTTTTTTGCTATCGCGGAGGTCGAGTCGAGAAAGAGAAAACTGAGAGAGCAAGAGAGCGAGAAAGAGAGAGCGAGAAAAAGAAGAAGGGCTTCCGACGGGTCGCATCAAAGACAATATTTAACAGATATACACCATACGCATATGCCATGCACGTGCCGAGAACAGGGGCGCGTAAAATTCACTTTGTTTGCTAAATAACATCCTCTTAAAGTACCTCCTCATACTAGCTCGCACTTTTTGTTAATCTTTTTCGCGGATATTGCCGCTTCTTCTAGCCAATGGAAAATTAAGCAATTAATTTTTTTAAACTTCTTCATTTTTTTTTTCATTCGACTATAGATGAATCCGACGGTGAAACTTTATTTTTAGCAATTCTTCTCACTTATAATACATTCCCATCGAAGGGGAAAACTTATTTCGAGCTGCTTTCTTTATTGGAAGAAAATAGAGTCTTTTTCAAGGAAAAAAAAACAACCTTTTGATTTTGTAATTGACAAACTTTTTTTTTAACTTTCAAACAATAATTTTTTTTTGATTTCAAAGTCCTTAGTAATAATTTTTTTAATTAAAAATAATTTTTTTGGATTTAAAAATTCATCCCGTTTATTATAAATTGAATAAATAAATAATTATAATAATAATATTTATTGTTTGCGAATTTCAAATAATTTTCTAAATTACCTTTCATTTTTTAAATTTGTATTTTATAAATTAATTTTATAAATTTATTTCATAAATTCAACTATTTTATTTTTTGTCACTCCTAATTGAAAATAAAAAATAATACAAAGGGACAAATTAATAACACTAGAAGAAATACTATTTAAAATGAAAATACATTATTAAAAATATAACAAAATTTATTGACTCATTTTTTACTATAAACGTTACATATTTTTTTACGTAAAATAATTTATTAATTAAAAAAAATATTAACGGTTTCAAATTATAATTTCCTTAAGATTCGTAATAGTACGCCCTCTACATAAGATTGAGAATCAACAATTTACGAACCATCATCATCATCATCAAGCAATTCCGACGGCTTTCACATCTGTTAGCCTTATGACAATTGTTATTATTATTTTTTTTTTTTCATCTAAAGTTAACATTTTTAAAAAACATTGTTCTTTTATTTTACACTTTTTCTCTCCTTTATTTCTGTATAGAATTTTTATTTTCTAATTAGTTTTATTTAGATAGTGGACAATTAAAAAAAAACGTGCGATATAAAATTTCACAATTGGTAAATATTTGCTAACCTTAACTGTCTTTATATTCAATTGAAATGACGTTTGTTTGTACTATAATTAAAAAAAGAACTCTTTTTGAAACACTCAAGGTTGCAAGTTTATAAAAAAAAGAAGGAGGAGAAAACATATAAATTTCGAATAAAATTATAACTTCATTGTTATTAACTTGAACAATTTTACTTGAAAAATATATTAACTTAATTTGAAAAATTAACAATTTTCATTCCGATTTGTTTTTTTTGGAATTATGTATATTTACTATATCGAAAAATGCATTTTAAAATAATATTTTTATACATTTCCATATACAACGAGAAAAAAGTTCTGAGATGACAGCAAAAACATTTTGTTTGATTCAAAAAAATATTTATTTGATCTAATTAAAAATTTCGTTTATTTTAATAAATTTTCCAAATAAAGAATTTGATTGAGTTAAATAAACTTTTCGTTAAGTTAACCAAACGTTTGGTTGATTGAACTGATTTTGGTTAATTTAACCAAAAGTTTTGGTAATTAATCAAATGTTTAGTTAATTATCAATACAATAAAAATACATTTATTTAATTGACTAAAACGAAATTTGGTTGTTTCAAACAAATTTTTTTCTCAATTCAAACTTAACTGTTGGTAAAACCAAAATTTGGTTACAAAATTCTTTTATATTTGACTGTATCAACTAAATTTTGGTTGTGCCAACTATTTCCTTGGGACAACTAAAATTTAGTTGATGCAATAAAAAAATTGCTCGTATAGAGACAAAATGTTTTGTTGTCAATTCAAACCTTTCTCAGTGTAGATACTTATTCAGAATAACATTTTCTTAAATAACTATTTACATTAATTTTCTACAACAAACAGTTGAAAAATCTTCAAATTTTTTTCTGTTTTTTTTTTTTTTTGTAGCGCAACTTTTGAGATATTTTTTATTTTTATATTTGAAAATTCCGGTATCTTTTCACGGCGGCGTCATCGCGTGAACTAAAGAATATCGCAGTTGTAATTAAGAAAACGACGGAGCCTGCCGCGACTGAGGGCTGAGGGGTTACTTGAGGGCAGACGGGGGTGGAAAAGTCTCTGAAAAACGCGCGCATGACAATGCCGACGGGTCCCCTTTGCCCCCTTTTTTTTCTCAACGGAGGGGGTGTTGTAGAAACTAATTAAAAATTCAACCATTGCCTTGCATCTTAAGATGCTGGCCTACAACCCTCCCCCCTCTCTCTCTCTTTCCCTCCCAATAAACATTTTCTCTCTCATTCTATAGAGCCAAATATTTTTTCTTCTTAAGACTGCTTCTTTATATACGCGATCGCCCCTTAAAATAATACTTTTACTTTTTCTTTCAGTGATACGTTAAATATGTTACAAAATTTCATCTCTCTTAAATTAATCAAATTTTTTAAAATATAGAAAATATTTTTAATTTAACAAAATTTTTTGTTGTTATTAATTTATTAGAAATTTTATTATTAAATTATTTCAACAAAAAAAATTGGTAAATTACAAATAAAATTTTATCAGATTAAATGAATTTTTTCTCTACATATACGTTTTTGGAGAAAAATCATTTTACGATAAAATATTACGTTTTTATGATTCTATTTTTAAGAAAAAAAAATTGTAATATGCGTGATTTCTTTATTTCTATTTTAGATTAAAAAAAGTATTTTCTTTTTTATTATATGAATTATGTTTGGGATTTTTATTTCTATTTAGAATAAATGAATTAAGAAAACGATAATTGGTGCTAAGTGTATGTTAATTAATAATCAGTTCAATAATTATTGAATTAATTTAGTTTATAATTATTTTATTTGGTTTTTAATGAAATTATTTCTTTCGTTTGTTTATTTATTATTATATTATAATTTATTATTTAGTTTGTAATTCAATTTTTTATTAAATTTAATTTGTAATTAAATTATTTAGCTAATAACTAAAAGATTTTTTATTTATTATTCTGCCTTATAAAGTTGATAATTAAAATAATTCAAAGTAATTAAAAATTGTATTTATTAAAAAATAATTTTTATTTTAAATTTTTATTTTTTTTCTCAAAATTTATATATGAAAGTGTTTTTGGAGATTAAAAAAATGGTAACAAAATTTATCTCTAGTTAAAGTTTGCTTGAAATAGAAAAATACAATTTTTTAAATTTCCATTGAGTAATTTGCTAATCCACGTGATAAAGAGGGCGTGAGTATATGTTTTACTTTTTTAAAATCATTTTCTCAACATTCTTATCTGTTATATTTCTTAATTTAATTCTCATTCTTAATTGTTTCTTTTATGTATTTCATTTTATTTACTATATATTTTTTTATTATCCTCGATTATTATAATTGCTCTCTAAATTCAAAAACTCTTTTACAAAAGAAAAAAAACAATTTTTCCCATAAAATACAATATTTTTTTCAACAAATGTTTTAAAATGTTATAAAATCACATTTTCAGTTCAAAAATGTGAATAAATTCCGAATTTAGAAATATTTTTTTACACTAACTAGTGTTTTTTAAATTATTATTAAAAATTGTTAAATATTTCTATTAAATGTTTAGCATATTTAAACATTGTAAAACATTGTTTTACAATTTTACATTGTTTTTTTATCTAAATAATTAATAATTGTTTCTTTCTTCAACGATTCTATCATTAATATTAGCTTTGACAACAAAACATTTGGTTGATAGAATCTATTTTGAATAACCAAAAAAAAAAAAAAATGTTTTGGTAAACTATATAATTTAAATAATTTTTAAATAAAAAATTATCGCTCACCTTGGGCGATCCTAACAGCAGGCATTTTGATCCTCATGATGGCGTTTTCAATTTTTCTCCTTCTCAATATTATTATTTTTTTGACTGGATATCACTATTATGAAAACTTTCACAGATCAAAAAAGGTCTTACACGAAACGAAACTTAAGAAATTAAAACAAACGTCACTCCGCTCCTCTCCTTAAGGAGCTTTCTCGTTGGTCCATCACCATTGGGCGCATTAATTTTTAAAAAACAAAATCCTTTCAACCACGAGGCACTATTATTCCTCCTCCTCTCTCTCTTTTTCTCTCTGTTTCACTCAACCGTCTTTTCTTTTTTTCCAAAAGGACAACATTGGAAATATTCTTATGGTCAACTGCTAATCGACCGCATGGTCAAAATTTCCCGCGGTTTCCGGCAAATTGGTACCGTTTGGTACCTCGTGGTACCCTTCCAATCACACACTTGTCACCTATTTTTTTATTGCAAAATAGTCAATTATCAATCCATTATATCATTTCCCAAAAATAAGTCACAATCACTTGAAAAATTCAATTTTCAAAAAAAAAAAAAAATTGTTCGATAAAAAATTTGTTTTATCGAAAAAAAATTAGAAAAACTCAAATCATCCTTTTAATTAACTGAACCGGCATTAAAAGAGTCCTTTTCTTTTTGACACTTGACACATGTTTCTTCACACATGAAAGAAAAAATAAAAAATTTCCTCTTGATGAAAATTTTTTTTTTTTTAGATAGAATTGAAAATAAAAATGAAAATAAAAGATGATTCTTATTAAATTGAGAGAATCGAAATATTGTTGAGATGTTGGTGAATGCGTGGACCAGCGCGGCAGCGACGACGACGGTGGTCCAGCATGGGTCGTATCTCTGAGTGGACTGTGCTGGACGTGCGCCTAGTAGTGGCGTTCGGGACCTGGTCTCGGGCACTGCGCTTCACTTCGGACGCGCTCGGTTCGCCTCGGCCCGTGCACGGAGGCCGGACACCCCACACGCTCTCTCGTGGGGTAGTTTTCACCCCCGGAGTGGGGGTAACGAACTCTCTCTCTCTCTCTTTCTCTCCCTTTAGCTTCCCTTTCTCACATGTGTGTATATGTATATATGTACTTTTCACTGTCTCTGTTTTTCTCTCCCTCTATCACCCTCTTGCTATCTCTCTTTCTCTCTGTCTCTCATGAGTTCTTCTCTCGCGCAGAGGGACGCAGTTTTCGGATATACGCCGACTCTACCCTCCTACGATGACAGAGATGCAAAGCAATAGTTTGTAGACGTAAGGGAGATGGAAAGTGAGTGTTGAGAAAGTGGGGAGAAGAAAGAGAGAGGAGACCACATCCTTGCTTTTCGTGGAGAGAGGGGAAAGAGCGAGAGAGAGCGAGGACAGTTTCAGACACGCTTTTCCAATTCGGATGACTCCCGCGTTGATCATCACTCGGACAACAAGCTTATGAAAAAATAGTTTTCTTCTCCATTTTTTTTTGTACTAAAAATCATTATTATCAATTACGTGAATTATTAAATAATTAGTCTCTGTTAAGAATTGATAACAACATTGATTATAATTGGTCAAGACTAAAAACGAATGAAACCTTACAAGCGGTTGAGACTATTATTGTATGAGACTACCAATGACAAAAACTACCATTGGCTAAAATTATTATTAGCGAAAATTAGCGATTATTAAAACTACTATTGGCTAAGACAATCGATTATTAAAATATCATTGATTGAGATTACCAATAACTGCGAAAACTATTGTATAAGACTACCCGAGACTACAATAAATTGAAACTGCTATTAGTAGTGAGTACCATTGGTCAATGCTAACAATAGGTAAAACTACCATTCATTGAGACTACTAATAAGAAAAACTACCATTGACTGAGACTATCAATAAGTAAAACTACCATTCGTTAAGACTATTAATAACTGAGACTACCAATAAAAAAACTACCATTAATTGAGACTACGAAAAAGTAAAACTACCATTCGTTGAGAGTACCAATAACTGAAACCACTAGAGTATAAAAATACTATTCGTTGAGACTACCATTAGTTGAAACTACCATTGTTTGAGACTGCCATTGATTGAGACTACCATTGGTTGAAACTACTATTTATTAAGATTACTATAAAGAGAATCCACCATTAGTTGAGAGTACTATTAGTTGAGACTACCATTTATTGAGAATACTATAAGTTAAAACTACCATTGGTTGAAATTACCATTGGTTGAGACTACTATAAATTGAAACAACCATTGGTTGAGACTACCATTGAAAAAACTACTAGTAAATGAGACTACCATTAGTTTAAACTACCATTTATTGAGACTACTATAAATTGAAACTATAGTAGTTTTAACTAATGGTAGTCTCAACGAATGGTATACCATTCGTTGAGACTACCATTAGTTAAAACTACTATTGTTTGAGACTACCATTGATTGAGACTACTAATTAATGAGACTACCATTGGTTGAAACTACTATTTATTGAGATTACTATAAAGGGAATCCACCATTATTTGAGAGTACTATTGGTTGAGACTACCATTAATTAAGACTACTATAAGTTGAGATAGCCATTAATTGAGACTACTATAAATTGAAACTACCACTGGTTGAGACCACCATTGAATAAAACTACTAGTAAATGAGACTACCATTAGTTTAAACTATCATTTATTGAGACTACTATAAATTGAAACTACCATTCGTTGAGACTACCATTAGTTTAAACTATCATTTATTGAGACTACTATATATTGAAACTACCATTCGTTGAGACTACCATTAGTTGAAACTACAATTGTTTGAGACTACCATTGATTGAGACTACTAATTAATGAGACTACCATTGGTTGAAACTACTATTTATTGAGATTACTATAAAGGGAATCCACCATTATTTGAGAGTACTATTGGTTGAGACTACCATTAATTGAGACTACTATAAGTTGAGATAGCCATTAATTGAGACTACTATAAATTGAAACTACCACTGGTTGAGACCACCATTGAATAAAACTACTAGTAAATGAGACTACCATTAGTTTAAACTACCATTTATTGAGACTACTATAAATTGAAACTACCATTGGTTGAGACTGTACTATTGGCAGCTGAGACTACTATTGGATGAGATTCTTATTGATTGAGACTATTATTGGTTGGAACTACTATTAATTGACACTACTATTAGTTGAGAGTAATATTAATTGAGAGTACCTTTTATTGAGAATACTTATAATTTGAAACTACCATTGGTTGAGACTACTATAAGTTGAGACTACCATATACGTTGAGACTACCATTGATTAAAACTACTATTAAATGAGACTGCCATTAGTTGCGACTTACATTAATTAAGACTGACATTAAGACTAGTAATTATTAAAACTACAATTAGTTAAGACTATCATTAATTGAGACTACCATAGGTGGAGATTATTGCTTGGGACCGAGATTAAAACTACCATTGGTTTAATTTAAATTTTGTTGAGACTACCAATAATTAAAATTGTCACTTGTTGAGACAACTATAGCTAATATGAGTCCACCATATTTATTGAGAAAACAATTGTTCAAACGGTTGCTTCAATGCCAGATTAACTTTTGTTTATTTTACCCTGAAGGTGAATTTCAACATTAATCTACATGTATAGTGAAAGAATGTATTCATATTTAAACAGTATTGTAATTTGTAATTCAAATTACATTCAATATTATAAAATATGATTATACATATACATTATTATCAGAAAGTTACAAATCTTTGTAATTGTAATATACATATACATAGCTATAAGTCAAAATTTTCTATATATGCGTTATCTTTTTTTTTTCTCTTTGTAATCACTATTATAGTGAATAATTGCATGAGACAAATTTATTTTTGCCAGTAAAATTGCTTTGCAAGGAAAGTCAAGATTGAAGAAATCGGTTTCTAGGAAGCAAACTCGAATTTGGATCTTTCTTCTTATCTTTACGAATCTTGTGACGTGTTTCCTTATTACTATCTTATCTTGATTTCGCTTTTTTTCTAAAAGAACATCAGGCGTATTAGACTCTCAAGTTTGCAAAGTAGAAAAAAAGGAAAAATATAATAATACTTTTTTCTTTTATTTTTAATTAGACAAATAATGGATAAAAGTAGCAATTTCTTTTTTAAACACATTATTATAATTCTCTTTGAAAAAAGGAAGTGTTTGTTTATAAAATGTGTTACAATTTTTCAAATCTAAGGAATTTGAAAGGAATATAGTAAAAAAAAAATAGAAAAAAAAGAAGGTTTATTATAAGGTATGCTCTTTATAAACAAAAGATAAACTTCTAGAAGCTGGCAATTACTAAAAAGGAAAAGCATTAGATCTCAAGGACAAAAGTTGGCTGAAAGGCCAAGAAGTCCTCAAAAGATAATTTGTATTTGCAACAGAGGTCCAGCTGATGCTTGAGTAGCGCCCTTTAATTTCCATAAGGCGCCTCTCGGCTGCTTTAGTATAGGGGACAAGAACATTTTCCAGGTCTCTCTTTCTCTCTCTTCCTCACTCTCTTTCTCTCTCCGACATTCAACCCCGTAAATGAATGGGTAGTTTAAGTGTTTTTAACAATCTCAAGAATAATCTCTTCCCTTCTTAAGTTGTCTATTAAGAATGCCTTATTGATTCTGGAAAGTCTCTCTCATCCTTTCTCGAGTTTCATATTATTCAAAATAATTTCTTTCTTCCCAACATTTTTCCTCTAGTTTTAATTACTTATTTTCCAATAGTCTACTGATAATGTTAACATTTTATCTTTATTTTTATTTTCTAATATTTTCTTTCTTAATTTTTATCTGTTTTTTTTTCTATATACCATTATTAAATTTATATAATTTCTTATTTCTATTTTATTTTTATACTATTTTTTCATTTAATATATTCATTTATTACTTTTAATAAAATTTTATTTCTACAATTCGATAAATAACCATAAATATAATTTTTAAATGGCCTACATTTTTTTTAAGAGTTGAAGTTAATCAAACAAGTGCGTAATAAAAAAAAAAAAATGTTTCGAAGCACTTGAATCGGCAAAAGAATGTATATATTCTGAAATCGTAGAAAATTTTAATCGAAGTAACAACTGATCAAACAATATGGTCAACGCAGGTCATCAAATAAAAATCCAACTGCTATCGCGTTCTTATTGGTTTTGTGTGTTGAATTTTTTTGTATATATGAAAGTTTAATAAAGGCGATATTCCGCAGCCACGAAAATTCTTTTCATTTATATATTTGAAAGAGTATACATATATATGTATATCGTTCTATATAATAAAAATTCTATTCGAAGGATGACGCTTTAAGAGTTTTTAAGCAAAAGAAGTGGGAACTCTTAACGGACCCAGATCTTTGCCCTCGGATGAGGGGTCATCTATATTCTTAGCATCGTTCCTGAAAACTTTAGTTTCACACAGAGTCCAAAATGTTCTCAAATTGTCTCCCCCAATATCATCATCATTAATAATGAACATTTTCACTTTCTCTGAATTTTTTTCTTACGACAAAAAAGAAAGAAAGGAAAAGTTTCAAACAAGTTCAAATAAATACAATTTTAAACTGGAAATGTCATGTTAAAATTGTATTCATTTTTTTTTTGTATAAGAAAAAAAATTCCAAATGTTTTTTTTTAATAATTATTATATCATAAAGCAATAAATATTAATAATGAATAATTAATTAAAAATTAATTAAAGAAATATTATTATGATATATTTTTTACTTTAAAAAAACTAAGGAAACCATATATATAAATTGTGTTCGTTTTTTTTCGTTTCGTGTTTATATATTTTCAGTTTATGGTCAGCACACATGGTCAAATCGGCACACACGTGACGTTTACAAGATTCGAAGCTCCTCCGCGTGCTTTTCGTGGGACTTTCAACGTTCCTCGTATAAAAATAAACAGGATCCCATGGTCACTGTTGGAACAACTTCTTAGAATATATGTTACTCGAGTTTATAATATATAAGAAACTTGAAAATCACTTTAATCCATCCAAAAACGT